CCCCTCCCCTCCCCCCACACACATCCATGTCTGTGACACTCAGGAAATGACATCCTCAGAAGTCACTAGAATGTCAGCTCTGGAAGGGTGAGCAGCCTCCTGTCCACCCCTGCCAAGGACAAGAGGGGGTGAAATAAATGTGGGTCGGAAGGCAGGCTAGGTTTGTACCCAGGCGGACACAGGGCTCATTCGGGGACCACAGCCCACACACGGCCTCCTGGGAGCCCCCTCTGGTCGGGTCCTGTCCACCGCGTCCCTCCGTCACATCAGGGATCCACTGTGAAACGGGAGAAGGGGACCCAGAGGAAAATGCCCATTCATTCAGTGTCTTTATGAGACAAAACATTTAAAAGGTGTGGGGGATGGAGAAGAAAGAGAGGGAGGGAGCGATAATTGCTCTCTGCCCCCAGGTCCTGACTGAGCCTGGAGCTCAGACACTCCAGGTAGGCGCCAGGGAGCCAGGGATTGCGAAAGGGCTGACGGCCGACGGGCTGGCCGCTGCCTGGCTCAGGTGACAGCAGAAGCAGCTGGTTTGGGCAAGGCCAGGGGCCTGGGATCCAAGAGACCAAGAATGGAGACGGAAGGGGCCTGTGAGAGCCTCAAAAATGAAGGCAACAGCGGCCATAGGAGTGTCGATGGGTCCCAATGGCATTCCTTCATTCCATGGATTGGGGACACCCCCCCACACACACACGGGTGCTGGGGTGTGCATGCAAAGGCCACAACCCACGGAGGACGAGCCATGGCACTGCTTCCTCCTGACCCTCACTCCAGGGCCCCGGAGAGAACCATAAAGTGCCCCCTCCCCCCTTCTTGCTGGGGCAATACCTGCACGTCCCACAGCTCAGCCCCTGCTCTGGGGAGTGAGGATCCCTGCTTCTTGGGGAGTGGGGCAGACGGAGGCAAAAACGGGAAAGGCTCTAACACAGAGTGCGCCCGGCCGTGCGTGTGACCCGTGACCAGTCCTGGGCGCCGTCCACGCTTCTCTCTCCGACAATCCCCACCGGACGCTCAGGGGCGCGACATGGCAGCCCCGCCCCGCCGGCGAGCAGTGGAGCTCGGATTTGAACCCGGGGCTTCCTGGCTCTTCCCAGAGGGCTCGGCCTCCGTGAGCACAGGTGCCGGGAACACCCTCCGTCAATGACCGCCCCCCCCGCGTTTCTTGCCAGTCCCCCGTCCAAGCCTGGGTTGGTGCTGTCCCCTCTCCTGCCCGCTGCCCCCGTCTCTGCCTCCTGGTTCCTAAGCCACCCTGCGAGGGAGGGGGCACATGTCCTCTTCTCTCCGATGCCCAGTCTCAAGGTCGCCTGCGATCTCTGTTTCCAGGTTCCTCAGCCCTGCACTATCTATCGTATCTGTCGTAAGAGGTGTTGCTTTGTTTCGTGGTTAAGAGAAACACGCTCCCTTGTTTTATCTTCTGTGACATCAGGGATATGAAGATGTAACATAGTAACAGATTTTCTATGAAATGTTGCCATTCAGTCAGTAGCACTTGTTACAAGCGATGGGCCACAGAAGTGAAAACGAGCACCCCCCC